TTATTTTTAGATACTGTGAACTTGTGGTAATTTTGAAATGAAAGTTATAAAGTTATGACATATTAGGCCGATAAAGTGCAATATTCAGTAGTAAAAATTATTCATCCACCAGCTCAAAGTAAATTAAAAATGATGCCAAGAAATTTTTAGTGGCGTGAATATTGTAAAATTTAGTTTGCCAATTATTTCAGATGTCCACGTAGCGTAATGTAGCGTGCAAAATTCTGCTTGCACATGATCTTCTGACTTTTAAATTTTAAACTGGTGGCGATTGTAATGTTCTAATTAAAATTTTAGAAATAAAAGCAATCTTAGTCATGTTAAAATAGTCATAATTTTTGTTTGTGATCTAAAACTTTCCCTTCAATATCCCATAAACTTAGTTGAACTTGTAAACAATTTTTGTTAGACAAAATACAGAAACGTTAATTGTTACTTCTTAAGCAAGGTTAATTCTTACATAAAATACTTTAGTGCATACTATCATATCATACGGACCTTGAATTAAATGATCAAGCAAATGGTTGAAGCGTAGAGAAAAGATGCAGTCTTAATAGAAATGTAATTTTTCAGTTAGTTTAGAAAGGTAGATATGAGTACCATAACACTGATGCAAATTTCATTGAAATTATACCAGAATGTTTAGGGAACAGTTGGAACAGTGAGCACTTTGCGAAGCTTTTTCTTTCTCTAATCTAGAAGATTCTGTATTCAAATATTCCTTTCATTTCAGATTAATTTCCACATCAAAATCTGACTGCTATGAATACTACACATAATATTCGCTGAAGCTGGCAGTAAATTAACTCCGAAAAAAATTAAAAATATATTTGGCTACAGTAAATTGAATTATAAATGCAATAGCTTGTGAGGGTGGTTATATACTGCTGGTTGTGTGTATATATGTAATGTATATTTATAAACAATATGTAATTACTATTAATGTTCGTAGCAACTTCAGATGATACGAGATAAATTCAAAATTGGAAGTGGAGATGCTTCCTTAAGGTCTTCAGAAGTAAACGGTCAACATTCAATGATATCTTTAAGCAAAAGCTGTTTCTCGCCAAACGGAATATGTATCCAGAACTTGCTATGTAAGCTGCTAGATTGTTCGTGTAGTTTTCGTCTCGATCGAATCTGTGATTCTAGTTTTCTATGCTGACTTCAGAGTTGGTAGTGGTGAGGAGGAATCATCGATAGTGTAATTAAATGCGTTTTCCCATGCATCGTGAAATGCCATTTCTGAAAGCAAAGCTAATTTGTATTTTATCAATGCTGTCGGAATTAAAAATTTTAAGAATGCAACTAACTTGACATTTGATAAATATTGTTTATTATGAATGATGTATATTATTTATCATTAATTTTTTAAGGAATGTTCACAAAGTTTTTTGAGACTCTTATAAAAGAGATTCCTTCAGAGCATACATAACAAGCTAAAGGGTCAATTTGTAGCAATTTTAGTGCTAAACGTCAGACGCCGCTAAAGGGTTCGGGTACATTTGTGAATGCAAACAAACAAAACATTCGTCAGACCGCATCAGTTACTACTGACAATAAATCATTAAGTGGTTTGTACATTTGAATGAAAATAAAATGAAACTAGGTAAGGCTGACAAAAATTTTATGACACGTGATAAGTGATTGTATCACTCGCATCATAAATATATTTAATTTTTTAACTTGTTTTCTTTTGTCATCTTTTTTCCCGAAATATGCAGAGCCTTTGCATTGGGGATGCAGACAAATAATTCCACTCTTCGTACGTTAATCTAGTTCCGAGACATGTGGTGGAACTTGCAATCCAAAGAGCAGTCGTGATCCGCTTCCACAGGATACCTGGACAAGGATGAGCTTCTTGATGTGCCCTTGGCCACCGCACAACGCGCTGCTGCTATTGCGCTGGCTGCGTTGGCGGGATTCAAGAAATGTCTAGGGGGATGAACATATTATTAAAACACCAAAAAGAATTTTTACACTACATTTTTGTTAAAAATTGATTAAATCTATAGCAGTACAATTTACAGAAAATCATAATGAAGAAACATTGCCAAGAAATAAAAATGTTCAAGCTCGAATCTTATGCTTTCGAGAAAATGGACAAAGACAACTTGACTAAGGACTGCTTTCTCGGAATTTTCGGACTGCTAGAATTTTGAGCCTGAAGTTTTAGATGCGACTTGGAATTTTAGACCGAACAGTCAGTACGTTCTCGCTTAGCCCGCTATTGACAGGCAAGGCAGTTTAAGTATTGTACTCCAGAGAATGGAAACTACACACTAACTATCATTGGTTCGTTCTCTGCATTTAAACAGTTACACGACATTTTTTAAGAACATGTTATATCAAACGTGTAATCGTCTGAGGCGGTGGCTTTGTCTGCTTATTCAACCAAAAGTATTTGACATTAACTTTTGATTTTTTTATATGTTTTAACGATGTAATTTGCTTTGTAAATTATTATAATACTATTTTTAGATACTGTGAACTTGTGGTATATTTGAAAATGAAAGTTAATAAAGTTATGACATATTAGGCCATAAGTGCAATATTCAGTAGTAAAAATTATTCATCCACCAGCTCAAAGTAAATTAAAAATGAATCGCAAGAAATTTTTAGTGGCGTGAATATTGTAAAATTTAGTTTGCCAATTATTGCAGAATGTCCACTAGCGTAATGTAGCGTGCAAATTCTGCTTGCACATGATCTTCTAGATTTTAAATTTTTAACTTGTGGCGATTGTAATGTTCTAATTAAAATTTTAGAAAAAAAGCAATCTTAGTCATGTTTAAAATAGTCATAATTTTATTTGTTTGTGATCTAAAACTTTCCCTTCAATATCCATAAACTTAGTTGAACCTTATAAACAATTTTTTGTTAGAACAAAATACAGAAACGTTAATGGTTATTTCTCTTTAGCAATGTTAATTCTTACTAAAATAACTTTAGTGCATACTATCATATCATACGGACTTGAATTAAATGATCAAGCAAATGGTTGAAGCGTAGAGAAAAGATGCAGTCTTAATAGAAATGTAATTTTTCAGTTAGTTTAGAAAGGTAGATATGAGTACCATAACACTGATGCAAATTTCATTGAAATTATACACAGAATGTTTAGGGAACAGTTGGAACAGTGAGCACTTTGCGAAAGCTTTTCTTTCTCTAATCTGAAGATTCTGTATTCAAATATTCCTTTCATTGCAGATTAATTTCCACATCAAAATCTGACTGCTATGAATACTACACATAATATTCGCTGAAGCTGGCAGTAAATTAACTCCGAAAAAAATTAAAAATATATTGGGCTACAGTAAATTGAATATAAATGCAATAGTTGTGAGGGTGGTTATATACTGCTGGTTGTGTGTATATATGTAATGTATATTATAAACAATATGTAATTTACTTTAATGTTCGTAGCAACTTCAGATGATACGAGAATAATTCAAAATTGGAAGTGGAGATGCTTCCTTAAGGTCTTCAGAAGTAAACGCGTCAACATTCAAGATATCTTTAAGCAAAGCTGTTTCTCTTGCCAAACGAAATATGTATACCAGAACTTGCTATGTAAGCTGCTAATTGTTG